CTTCTGCACATCTGTCAGCAAGTTCGGCCAATTGCATCTCCACTTCTCTCCATTGCTGCCTCCGCCTCCCAGCCTCCATCATCTCTTCCCTGATTTCTGCAGTGGTTTCTGACTGGCCTCCCACAGCCCCTGCTGCCTCCCAACAAACTATTCTCCACTTAGCAACTGGAGTGGATACTAACACACATAGAATAATTCACATCACTCTGCTGCTGAAAATCCTCCAGGGGCTTTCTTTGAACTTTGAATAAAAGAAAAACTCCTTACTCTAGCTTCTAGGTGGCTCACATGTTCTGTGCCAGCCTTATCTGGAGTCCCTCCTCAGCTTGCTCATCCTACGGTGGCCATCCTGGTATTCTATTAGTTTCTAGAACCACCTCAGAGTCTCTGCACCCTCCTGGAATTCTCCTCCATGTGCCCTTTCCATGGCTAGGTTTATCTTGTTCTTAACATTGCAACTTACACACAGCCTCCTTCAGAAAGCCTGCCCTGGTCTAAAGTAGATCTCTGTTGTCATTCTTCATCAAAGAATAATGTTTATTTCTTTCATGGCTCTAATTACAATTTTTACTTTTTAAGATCTCTTTGTTTAATTATTTGTCTTCTTGACAAGCTTATGAGCATGTATATTTTGTTCACTTCTTTTATTCTCAACTGCTAACGCAGTGCCTTGCATGTGATGGGTGTTCAGAACATACCTGCTAAATGAAAGAACGTCAGACGGGCACTAAGCCCGCTATCTACATTCTCTTAATTAATGTTGACAAGGCATCTGCAAGGTAGATATGGCTCTAAGCCCATTTCATGGACAAGAAAAATGAGGTGTACAGGTGTCAGGTAATTTACCCAAATCCATAGAACCCACAGGTGGAGATAGTAGAATTTGCATTTGGGTTGTCAAACTGTCGGGGCTGAGAGCTCCTCCACTTCACTTCTCTGCTTTTGGAGTGTGTGGAAGGCTGGTTAAGGCAGAGAGAGGAAGCTATTGTGTTTTCAGTGTAAGCTCAACCATACTGGCTGATTTTCAAGATCTTGTCATGGACACCCTAGATTTTTTCATCACTCTGATATGTCATCTGTTTTCAATTTGGGGTTTTATTGTTTGTTTGTTTGTTTTCAAGGACAAAACAGGGAGTTAGGCAGCGTGGTGTTTGAATTCAGCTCAGAGCCAAGGAACCATTTCAAACTGTTTTTCTAGCTCACTGTAAATTCCCAAAGCTGGCCATATATTTCATGGTCTGAGTCTTATGATTTGATCCTGCCTCATTCCTCCATATCTACATTGAAAAGAACACATTACCAGTGTGATGTAAACGCTCCTAATTCTATATGAAATCAGCACACTGTACCCCATAAATGCATTAATGCACACATGACCTATGTGTTTATGACTTAATAAAAAGTCTGGGGCCCCCTTCTCAACAGCCACAGAAAGAAGCCTGAAGTAGGGGCACTTTGCTGTCGACCTAATCGATTTTTTAAGCAATCTACGTTTGGGCATAAAGTCATGGCGGCAGGGAACAGGAGTGAACAATTGATTTGACTTATCATCTAATACCTTGCATCAAAAGAGAAGAAGACCCTCTTTCAAGCCTCCTTTCCCCCACAAGATTGCCTTTCCATCAACATGCCATTGGGAAGAGTGGTCCACACCCCCCCAAAAGGTGGTATCAAAAGTGATACCTTGCATCAAAAGAGAAGAAGACCCTCTTTCAGGCCTCCCTTCCCCATGAGCTTGTCTTTCCATCAACACGCCATTGGGAAGAGTGTTCCACCCTCCCACCCCCACCCCCGTTCCTGCTCCTGCCTCCCCTCTCACTTTCCTTCCTGGAAGACTGATACCTCCCTTCCCCTCCACTCCACGAATGCTGACGACTTTCCAATGGTCAAGTCCAGGAAACTCTTTTAAATCTTCCATCTTTTTTGACCACTTCAAAAACTTTCTTCTCCTTTTGGTTTGCCACACTGTCATGTTTCAATTCTGTATCTTTCTGGCTGCTTTTCCACCATTTCTTTGTCAGTTCCCTCTGTCCACACCCTAAACCCTGATGCTCTCTGAGTTCTCTCTGTTATCTGCACAACTCCACTTCCACATCTCTCAAACATCCCTGACTTCGTATGTCCCGAGCTGCCATCATTGCTCCTGTTGTCTGGTCTGAATCTGCCCCTCCTCTGTCAAGGTCCCCAGTAGCTAGTCAACTCCCCACACTGAAAGCTTTGGAGTCGTCATTTTCTCTAGATCTTTGTCAAATATCACTGTGTAACTATACAAAATGGTAATTCCTTTTCTCCCCCAGAACTCCCAGCTCCCTTACCCCTCCTTCATTATTCTCCTGAGCACTTATCACATCTGTATACTCGCTGGTTAGTGAGTTATATGTGTCCTGCCCATGAGAGCAAAGGCCCATGACAGTGAAGAGTCTACCTGGTCCACTGCTATTATCCCTACTGTTTAGACCAGTGCCAGAAGCTTAGCTGAGGCTTAGCTTAGCTGTAAATATTTGTCGAATGAATAAAAGGAACTTGGAATTCTTCCTCTGCCTCAGATGTTGATCTTTGGAAAGTTTCAAAGTTCTGCTGTTCTTATCTTGGAAGTGTCTCCCTCGTTTGTGTTCCTTTTTGTTCTCTTTCCCATTGCTGTCATCTCAGATTTGGACCTCCCATGCCATCCACAGCGATCATGGCCTCCTGGCTGGTCTCCTCGCTGTCGCTGTCTAAATCTTACATCCTTCTCTGCTTTCTAACAGATCTCTCTCTCTGAAGCACAGGGTGCCCCCTTCCTTTGCTTCTGCCCGCTGGGTGTTCACATGGTAGGTCCTCATTAACGGGGGCCTCACCATTCAGACCCCTCTCCCTGGGATTTTCTCTAGGGAGAGAGAGCTCTGGGGAGGGCCAGAGTTTTGTCCCATTTTAAAACGAGGTTCGGGGTAGGACTGAAATGCAGCGCAGAGCTCACAGACGTAGGCTTTGACAACTAGTGAGCCAAAGAATTGGAGACAAGTGATGCATCCTGTTAAAAGAACACAGGAGAGATGCTCAGAGTGGAGACTGGAATGCCTGGGGCAGGATTCTAGAATGAGTCATTACAACAGAGACCAACAACTACACCGGGTAGGGAGGGGCTGGAGGGAGAGAAAAAAGAAACTCAGTCATGCTGAAGTGAGATAGGATTTCCACACTTGTCTACATCAAAACGCTAAAAATAGGGACATTTGGGGAGAAAAATAGTGAGGAATCTTTTAATTCTACCGACATGGACTACAAGGAGGCAGGTTTGTAGGAAAGGATGTGTCTCTTACTCTTGGTGGCAAAATTAGAAAATTTTATTCTGGGTGGCCCATCCTTCACTCCCCCAAACCACCCTCAGCTTGTTCTCTCATCTTTCCTCACTACCAAATCCTCTTTTTTTTTTAGGAAAGGATCTGATACATTCATCCACATACATTTATAATAATGTGGCAATTTGAGACACTTAAATATGGCAACCTTTATAAAAAGATGCACAAGGTCCACTGCACCCAGGACAGGGGTAAACTCAGTGGTTGTTCAACAAATATTTGTTGAAAAATGTTCAAACAAATGTTATTTATATTATCAAGCTTTCTAGACGATCTAAATATCTGACAATGGGGAAGCCATTGAAGAATCACCCATATGAAAACATATTGGATAGTCATAATAAAAATATTTAGAAAGCTGTTTTAATGGTCCAGGAAATGCTTATAATTAAATGTGAGGCAGAACCAGCAGGATTCAAATTGCTACTATAATATGTCAATTATAAAAATCATTTGCATATGCAAAAGACAGAAAATCTATGGGTGTCTCTGGAATCCGTGGGGTTGGGGATTATGTTGAGTTCTTTCTACTTTACTGTATTTTTGAATTGTTTACTCTTGCTGTGAGATAAATCTTAGAAAGTAAATGTGAACTACTTACTTGGGGGATGAAATGCTTTTCAAAATCATAGTGTTTTGGCGTGGCCCACTTGACCTACCATCCAGGAGGAGCTGGGGTTTCTTCTGTAACTGGAGGGTTTTTAAAAAGCGTAGCCATCAGCGAGGAGTCTGACCTTTAAACGAAAAGGGAGTGCTTGGCGACAGTGATGCACTGGTCCCCTAATTTTAGGCAGCCTTCCTGCTGGAGGGTTTCTGTGAACCATATCTAGAATACCTCCGAAATCTTTGTTCCTTACACACTTAAGCCTTCAGGTACTAAGACATGTTTATTTTCACCCTGCCCCCTCTGTCCCCTTCTTTTAAAAACACAGCTGTAAGATTCATTAAAGTCCTTCGTGTTGGCTCCTCAGTAATATTGTACATTAGTATCTTTAGGAATCAAGGCTGTGTCCCCAAGCAAGAAAATATTATTTAATATCGTTTCTATATCATACTAGCTACATAAAAGGCTTGGCTATTTTAATAAAGAAACTATAGATTTCACCAATTTTAAACAAGACGACGTTCTCTTTCGGTTATTTCTGGAAATTCCTTCTAAACATCTGCGTTTTCTTCCAACTTAAGGCACCTCCCACCTCCTCCCCAGGGGATCTGCTGACTTGGGTTGTATGTTGCCTGTCTGTGGAAGAGCAAATTTCATAGTTAGGATAAAACAAACAAACAAATAATACCAAAACAAAACCCAGTGACAGAAATCCCCATCCCTCTCCAAATTCCTAATTTTCTGCACTAAAAAAAAAAAAAAAGAAAAAAAGTCCTGGGCCAGCCTTGTGTCGCAAGGATCTCAAGACTCCAAATGGAGGGATTTGACAACTTCAAAAAGCTAACTAAATCTCAGATATCGGTTTTATTATTTACTGATTATTAAAATATCCCAACTCCTAATTAAGGAAGCCTAGGTGGCAGGAGCGACTGCGAAGGCGCGGGGGAGAAGTGTGAAGGGAGGAAGCCCTAGCTCCGCCTGGGAGGCTGCGAGTGGAAGAGCCCAGCTCCCCTGGTAGTTCCAGGCCGCGTTTTGCAGGCGGCCGCATCTGCCTCCCCTGTCTCTCTTACCTCCTTGATGTTCGGCACTATTTGTGGCCGGCGTGGTGGAAGGACACAGTGAGGTTCTCACCCCCGCCCCCCGCCCCCCGCTCCCATCCCCAGTTCCATCAAAGCGAACCCAGGCCAGCGCAAGGATCTCCGAGTTGCGAGTGTGCTGAGGCTGGGACTGTCACTCATTCTCCGATCAGCGCGTGAACGCAGCTCCGCAGCCCCTGGCAGGAAACAATTCTGCAAAAATAATCATACTCAGCCTGGCAATTGTCTGCCCCTAGGTCTGTTGCTCTGCTGCCGTCCACAGTCGCTGCAAGGGGGGGCACAGAATTTACCGCGGCAAGAACATCCCTCCCAGCCAGCAGATTACAATGCTGCAAACTAAGGATCTCATCTGGACTTTGTTTTTCCTGGGAACTGCAGGTACATTTTATTCTTTTAATTCTCAATCTGATTTGCTAATTGTCCCCTTCCCACTTCTTCTCCCCGGAGGAGCACTGTTATTTTGGATGGTTTTACGTGGAATGCTAAGGCTGGTCATTTTCGGTGAGCTGTGAAAGGAGCGCGTCGCCCTTGCTGCCCAGCCGAACCCCGAACCCTCCCGGGCTGAGCTGCACCCAGGCTGTCTCCCCGCGCCGCAAGCGCCGGGCGCTCCAGCAGCGCGTCCGCCCTTCCCACTTTGTGTGCCGGTGGCGGTGGGAGCGGAGCCGGCCAGCTCCCGGGGACGCTGCGGCCAAGCCGGTGATGGGCAGCGCTCCTTCCCCACGGCGGGCGGCTGGGCGGGGGATGTCGCGGCTCGGGTGGTGCCGCCGCACAGGCTCGGCTTCGGCGGAGAAGGGGCTTGTCAGCCTCAGCTCCGGGAAGAGTGAACAATAAGGGCAGGGCAGTCACCCGCGATCGTTATTTCCCCGGGTCTAATAAAGTGGGGCTCGCTGCTTTCTCTTCCACCCTCCGCCCCAGCCTGAATAACGGTTTGCAAAATGGGGCAAAATGGGCAGAATCGCAGGGCTGTGAGGCCGTTGTTGCACCCCGGTTGATATGACGTTAGTTTTTCATTTGCCAAATTGCTGGGTAGTTGCAAAGCCTACCCTCGGCCCGGAGCACGGAGGGATGGGAGGGTCGAGCGCGGCGTTTTGACAGGAGGAAGTGCGGAGGGGCGGAGGGCGAGGAGGGCGTGATCGGGGCTGCCTGGTGTGTGTGCGCGCGTGTGTGCGCGCGTGTTCCTTTACACGCACCGCGAGCCCGGCGTGGCACGGGGCGAGAGAAGAATGGCAGGTAGCCGCCGGAAACACCTCGCCCCAGTCCCCTTTCTTTGGGCGAGGTTCCTCATCTTGGCAAAGTGCGAACAATAGGGAGCTGGGAAGAAGACTGTAGGGATGCTGCCGCCGGTGGCCGGGGCTGCGCCGCCGCCCAGAGAACCTCGGCAGCCGGGAGGGAGATGCATTTCATTCTGGCCATTTCCATCTCGGCCTCCCTGTAAGATTATTATGTGCGTGCCCACTCTCCCCTCCAGCTGCTCCCCGCCCCCACCCAAGGATTTGCGATTTGCGCTGGTAGATCCGAGGAGAAGAAAAGAAGCAGGGGCCGCAGAGAGCTGGGTGGGTTGGGCGGACATCCTGGGTGAGGGGCGTGTGCTGGGAAGCGCCCGCGGAGAGCTGGGCGGAGGGGCTGTGTGTCGCGGTCGCCGCTGCCAGGTGCCGCTGTACCTGCCCTAGACAGCCCAGGCTGACTGGGGGAGCGCACGGGGCGGGCCGGGGAGCACCCAGAGTACCCCCTCCGCGGGCGGCACGAGAGCAGCCCTCGGCCGCCACCTCCAGCCAACTCGAATCCCTCCCATGGCGACCAATCAGAGCAGGGCTGGCTGGGCGGGAAGCCGCGAGAGGCTTTTATTGCGGCGCGGGTGGCGGCCCGGAGCTGCCAGGACAGTGTCCCGGTGTTCCAGCCTAACGGTCTCGCTCACACTCGCCGGGAGAAACCCCACCCTGGGGCCTGTCCCCCGCCTGCCCCGCAGTTTCTGAGGAAATAAAATGGAGACTAGGCGGTCACCGAGCGGTTTCTAGTCTGGCCCACCAGTGCCTGCCCACTCTCGCCTCTTTCACGCCGCCCGGGAGCATCCCACCGCCCCTTCCCGCACACAGCCTAGCGCAGCGGTGTCCGGGCCGGAGCGCGTAGCCAGGGAGGGCGCCGGGGCAGGGCTCAGCGACGCGCGTGCGCTGACTGGCCGGCCGCGGGCCGGGGGCGCTGCGAGGGCGGGGCCTCGGCCGGGCGCGTATCTGGGGACCCAGCCTGGACCGCCTGGCGTTGGGTCTTCCTCGCCGCCTGGCCGGGGCCGCCCTGGCCGTGCCCTTTTCCGTCGTGCCTGTGAGTCTCCGTGGAGGTGCTTGTTCGCGCTGGCGCGCGTGTGCGTCTTTGAGACCTCCTACCCTCTGAGTGGGAGAGTGACAAGGGAGACCGGATCTTTGGTGAGCCTGTGAGAGGGATGCCCGGCTGTCCTTTCATTATCGTGATGGGTGTAACCCTTCGTGTTTGCAGCCCTTGGGAGTTGCAGGGAGTACACTCCCAGGGAATCCCACCATAAGATGTTTGTGGATGCCCAGGCGAGGGTGGCATTCTGACCAGTGTTCCCTGGAAGCGTCCTCTTTCCTGGTCCCAGGGTCTGAGGATGGGGAGAAGGCAGAACACGAAAAGCACGCAGGTTACTTAACAAAAGAAGGAACATGAACGGTTTTCCAAAGGAAATAATTTTTTATTAAAGTACTATTTCTACCATAGTTAAATAAAATCGAAGAAATCAAGTCAAAGGGTCAGAAAGAAAATAAAAACAATATAACAAGCATAAATATACATATTTATTTATATACCTATATTTGTATAAATAAATATACATATTTATGTATATTTTTTGTGTGTATATGGATATATATGTAATATATGCTTCAAATGTGACATCTCCAGGGGTAATGATAATTCAGGCTCTGTGCTCCACTCTGTGAGTACGAAAATTCAGACACAAGGCACACTAACCTTAATATATATGTGGTATATCAAAGGAGTCAGGTCGTCCTCTGTCCTCTCCTTTTGGTGTCTTCTGATCCCTAGGAATTGCATAGTAAATTTCAGCCTATTCTAGAAGCAATCATGGATGTTGTGTGGAAAAATTATTTGCTTAAATGATCTGGGCTGGTTAAGTCACATGTTTACTTGATACTTTTACAATCTTCTGCCAATTTAACTTGAAAGAGACAAGGAATAGATAGGACTAACAAGATAGCACCAGATAAAGAACAAAGGGCACTTTCGCAACCTTCCCAAAGCTCACATACAAGCAGTCTATATGATGTCCCTCACTGAGCAAATTAAGATGCGTTTCAGCAAAGTTTGCTGGGAGCACAATTGTGGTGAGCTGTATCTCTTTGTTGATTTTCATGTTGAGATTGGGTTGTGTCTTCTTGAACAAAATTTAGCCCAATGTTATAAAGTCATCTTTAAGAATCTGGAAAACCTTTTGTAAGTCTGTCTAAGACCCCCCCCCCCAAGATTATTTGTTCATTAAATATTAATGTAATTTAAAATAGTAAAAATAACTGACAATGTATTTGCAATTCACGAGTTTAAAACAAAAGAGAATATAATCTGGACATGGTGCAAGTGTGGCCTGTCATTTAAGTTGTTGAGCAACTATTCCCACTACAAAGGTCCTAAAAATCTACCAACCTGGCTAAATGTTCATGAGTCTTACTTTTAAAAATTAATTCTTCATGAAGCTCCCTTTTTCTTACCCCAAATTGTTGATCTTCATGTCATCTTTCCAGAAACCTTTACCTAGGATCTTTGTCTTCAAAATAACACTGAAATAACAAAATAGCAGGATATGTCTGCATTCAGTAAAGGAGGTTCCACTAAATCTTCCTGTGCTAATTTGGATAAAGTAAGAATTTGTCAATTTAGTGAGTGACTGATTTATTGCACTTGATAGTTCAAGAATTGAGATAGTATGCTCTACAACTCAATACTCCCCTCTCCCCAAGTCCCACAAAAAAGCATATATATATGGTGTAGGCATGTTCTTTGCAAGAGATGTGGGTGTTTACTCAAGACAGCGATAAGAGGGAAAAATTAGTCACATAAAAGGCCCCAATTTGTAAAGTTTTGTATAGTGCTTCTCTGGAATGCATTCATCATTAATCGAATTCCTCAGATAAGTAATATGTAATTTAATGTAAGTGACCTATGTCTGTATTTTTCTGTCACAGGGAACACATGTCCTAATTGCCTTTCAAAATAAGTAGCACCATTTTGTCATTCAAAAGCTATTTCAGATGTGACAGATGCTTTTGCTGGCTGCAGAACTCAGTTTCTCAAATTAGAGACAGCACTTTGTAAACTTTACACTGTCTGAAATGCGGACTTCGGAATTTCTGATGCAATCACTTAATTTTTCAAGGTGAAAAAGGTTCTATTTAGTATTAGTTTGATGAATTCCCCATATTTACGTCCTCAATGTTAAAGAATCGTGGCTGCTTTCCAGACTGAAAGTGGCTTCAATACAACTGGCAGACCTCCAAAGACATTTTACAGACAGTCCTTCCTGACTCGGTGTAAAATAAGTGATTGACTACCTGTTGCTAAAGAACGGTTTGAACTTTCCTTGATGATCTTGGGTTTGTGGTGATGGAGAGCAGAACCAATTGGCCGACAGGGGCAAGAAGGGACCGCACCTGCCCCCGTCAGTCTGTGGCAACAATCTGTTGCCTGGGAGGAAACAAAGACATTTTTAAAAGGCTCTCCTGCAATGTTGAAGTATTGAGTTGTAGAGCACACAAATGGTTTACAGTGTCAAAATACATACTTTAATGTAAATTCCATCATGCAATCGGTCATTCTTCAGTTTATCAATCTAGGCAAATATATAGACAAGGAATGTCTGGAGCTTTAAAAGAAATAGGAAATTACAAAGAGCATTTTAATACTCTTAAAAGTGGGTTACGGATTAAATACACGAATCATCTGGCTGTGTCAAATAAGGATCTTTTGAGTTTTGAACAACAACAAAAAAAGCACAAGGTTAAGATTCCTTTGGTTTAAAAGAAAGAATTCTGAGTAAAATTCAGAAAAATGATTTCATATGTTTCTCAATGAAACTCTGAGCTGTATTGTAAGTGATGGCCTCTTATAGGGAGATGCCCCAGGACCTCTCTGAATCCTAACGATTAGATTTCTATTCGCTTCAGCGTTTTTAATATCAAAGTACATTGTAGTGAAACCATTTTCAATAATATGGGTAGATATGTTTACTACCGTAGGGCAGTAGAATTACAAAAGTCAATCTAAAGGTCATAGTCATGTTACCTTTAGTCCTTTTGGTTATTAACTCTTGATGCTAAACCTTAAAACCATTTGCTGATGTAAAAGGATGTAAATTA